CGGACCCCCGCCCTCTTTCCTGCCTATGCAGGGGGTCAGACTCGATGATCTATTGAGGTCCCTTCCGACCCTAGCATCTGTGAATCTATGAAACTTTGGTTGCTGATTCAATTAGGAGGCGATTCGGCCCAATTTGGCGGCCAAATCTCTGAATCCAAATCAGATCAGGAGATCCATTAATCTCTCCAAATCGAATCAGAAGCCTCCGATTTGATTCGGAGAGATTTGATGATTTGGACATAGACACAGCTTTATATGTTTTTTCTACATACCTCAAGGTACCAGGCGGCTTGTGAACGCTTGAGATGGTAGGACAGAAAGACTGTCCCACAGGAACGCAGGGGGTGGTCTCCAGCACACGCAGCAGCAGACCCAGAAGTGGACCAGAAGCACTTCCGGTCCACTTCAAGTCCTCTGCAGAGTATGCGGGGGACCCCTCTTTGCCCCCTGGCTCCGCAACTGGCGCCTCCTGGGTCTGGGGTGGGTAGCTAGGGTCCCCCCCCATGGCCGATCACCAAGCCAGAGGGGGGGTGTGGTGGGGGAGGGGGTCCTCCTGTGGGATGCTCCATCCACCCTACCATCTCAGCGTTCAGGAGCTGCGCCTGGTACCTCGAAGCTTTTAGAAAAACTATATAAAGGTATGTCTATGGCTGAATCGCTGATTCTCCAAATCAGAATCGAATCTTCAGATTCGGCTGAACCGAATCGGGACAGTGATCCGAATCAACAAATTGAATCACTGTCCCCCAAATCGGGCCGAATCTGAATCAAATAAGGCCTGCTTCACACACCCCTAATATTTAACACAACACGTGTAAGAGCCATTAAAAAAGTTTTAATGAAAAGTAAACGTAATGAAAATCTTCTGTACTCTTTTCTACTTAAGGCTTTTCCTTTTAAAAAGTGAATGTATACAAGAAATGTATCATGTTTCTTAAACTTTTCTATTCCAAGTTGGTCTTCACATTTGTAGCATGTTTTCACTCTAGGGAGTGGTAAACAGGAGCTTTAAAAACTGCTACTGTTAGGTGTGCCATAAATATCAAGGGACAAGAAAGGATATTGTATATTCATGAATTTAGGACCTTTTAATGCAATTCAAAAGTCACATCACATTTTTGTAGGCATCTCAAAGTACAACATACAGAATTTATCACAAATCCTCTTCTCTTATTTTCTCAAAAACGCGGTCCTCTTCATTTGGCCTAACAAATGTCCTTTTTCTTGGTATAAAACCAGAAATCTGAAGAGAAACAGGTACAGTTAGATAGGACTTACATATTACTTATTATACTTTCAGCCAAGGAAGTTGACAGAACTAAGATAATGATCAATGTTACTAACTAAAGGGAAAAAAAGTGAGAGATGCAGTTCTGTTTTACTGTTGTAATAGCTGGCATTTCTAGATCAGTATTTTGGAGTGGACAGAGCTTATGTATAGGGGATTCATCCCAGTGATTACTACTTGCTTACAATAATGTTTATTTCAGTGCATTAAAGGTAGTATAAATTGGGACATGCAGATCTGCATTTTACTAGTGTTTCTGTTCCTGAGAAACTACAGCCCAGCCCAAACATTCACATATTCATGCTAATATGACCAAGCAGACCCACAGTCTACTCATGTGTGCTCATAAAGGATTATTGAGTATAAAAGTTAGGCATGTGCAAAAATGTTTATATAAATGGGGTCTACATCAATAATTTATCCCTACACACTGCAAATATGTTTCATCTTCTGCCTTCAGAACGCCAATATTGTTCCAGGCTTTGATATAGGACACCAGCATAGGCGGAGGGAGAAAATATTAAGGGGTGGGTGGGAAAGAGAGGGCTTAGGATAATTGTGCACACACATACTGCCCAGCAGGTAAGTCTGTGGAGGGGAACAGGTTGGGGAACAGACTGAGGCCCCCACAGTGAGGGAGTGGGGCAGGGGCAAATGGGGCCCCAGGGCAGGTCATGGGACAGTCAGAGCCTGGGCGGCTCAGCCAGGGGGCTCCTGCCACTGTGCACACCACAGGGGAGGCATGGGGGGCACATACCCCCCAGATTTGTGTGCCGAGCAGAGGAAGGCTGCTGCTGCAGGCTGGGGCTCTGTGCCCCGCTACCACTACCCCAGGAGCTATGTGATGCCATGTCTGCAGTGCATCCACTGCCCGCCCAGCAGCAGCAGGCACATAGCATTGCGCATAGCTCCCATGGCAAAGGCAGCGGGGCACAGAGCCCCAGCTTGCAGTGGCAGCCTGCCTCTGCCCCACACACAAAATCTGGGAAGGCATGTGCTCCTTGTGCCTCTCCCGGGGTGCGTGCAGCGGCGGGAGCCCCCCCGTGTCCCTGGATGAGCCACCCAGGTTACCACAACCCACCCCAGCCCTGGGGCCTCATTCACCCCAGGCCCAGCCTCTGCCCCACTCTCTTCCTCACTGTGGGAGCCTTGATCAGCACCCATACCTCTTCCCCTTCACAGACTTGCCTGCTGTGGTGGGTAGCACTCCACACATTGCAGAGCTGTGATCCTGGCTGTGTGCAGTCTGTGGCTGCATGTCTGTATCTGTGCACACCCTTCCACCTGCCTGGAGCCCATGCCCAGGCTGCCCTGCACACTGCTACCACTGCCCCGTGGTTGGGGGTGGGGGTGGACTAAGCCCTGTTAGCCCTAGTCTTCCGCTGCCTATGGACACCAGACTTATTCCAACAAATGACAGACTCTGCCCCAAGCTTTCCTACCAAGCAGTCACCTGACTGCTGTAAAGCTGTAAGTGTCTACTAGTGCGACATGCCATTTGTAACTTACTGTCTATATCTGGGAAATGTAGAGAACGTCTTGCATATCTTCCAAACAGCTAATATCTTGACTCGTACATTAAACTGTTTAATACTATAAAAAAGTATTTTATAAATATTATGGCAGCCCTGTTACAATCTTCTCCGACAGCAATTATCTGTACAAAGTTTTGTTTATAATACTAGGTAACACTAGTTACTTCAGCTCCCATGTTCAGAAACTCTTAAAGGATTCAGTCATTCTAAGTTTGGTAGATGTTTGAATACTCCATAGACTGTGCATATGGATTTTTGTTTTAATCACCTGCTTGGTAATAAAATTCTTGTTTCTAGCCAGTGTTCCCTCTAAATTGTGTGGCATGCACGACTGCGCAGGCGCTCCTGGCAGCATGGTATGAGCATACCTGCGCAGCCGCACAAGCCACACAGCTTAGAGGGAATGCGGCTTCCAACTCAGCAGACTGTTCTTGATCTTCCTAATAACTAACTTTTGCATCTGTACTGGATAATCTACACAGAGGTTATTTATGGGCTATCCTGCTAGCACTACAAGGGCAGCACAAGAAATCAAGATCAGATTTCTGATTAGGCAGGAACCACCTGGTTTAGCACTCTAAAAATCCCTCCTGGGCTAGAAGACTAGAAAGGCCTTTGAAGACTATGATGGGAGAAAATAAAGAGACGGTCTAAGTAACTCTGCTCCCCCTGCATGAAAATTTACAGGCCAATCTTTATCCTTAGTTTCTAAAACATCTTAAACGGCAGTATAAAGACTTGAAAAACAGCATAGAACAGGGATGCCTCAAGCAGCTTAGTTTTTAACTCTCCCATGTGTTTTGATATGTTCAACTAAATAAGATTAAAGATTTCAGAGGATTCATTGCCCATTTGATAGCTTAACAGTGCATATCACAGATGGGCTGTGTAACCATCAAAATCCTGCAGATTGTTAAAACTAACTGACAGAGCTAATACTCTGTAGTCTGGTAATCCTAAAATCAAATGCAAAAATGATCAAGGAGGACCTAACCCATTATTGGTTTTAATAAGTCATGAAGAGGATTTTATAGGCTATACATAAAGTTGCTAGTATTCCTTGCAAATATTCAATAAAAGGGCTAATACTCAAGAGAAACATCAGCTCAAACAAGCACTTTGATCTATATTAAGTGAACAGTTTACTTTTAGAGGTCACTAAACATTAAATTCACTGCAGTACAAACAACCCTCCAGATCACAAGAGCCTTTAAAGCCAAATTTAAATACTCTGTAGAGGGGCTCTCTGTACTGGGGTGAATGTCATCCTAAAAATGCCAGCAGTGAAGTTATATGAAACATATGTTTGAATTTAAAGAGATGCCCTGAACAGGTATGGTCACACATTGCCGAGCAAGAGTAGTAACATCTGTGACAGCTAAATGTGTGCCCAGAGGAGACTAACCAGGCAAGTCCTTGGGTCCCTAATTCAATCCTTACTAAAGCTACATGAACCTTACTAAAGCTACATATCAAGAATGACTTAGCTTGTACATGAAAAAGGGAACTAAAAGTACAGGATATCTGTACACCAATGTGCATTTTTATATTGCAGTTGCCATATTGGACTCAGTGCCACGGTCCATTTAGAGTAGCATCCTGCCTAGAATTGTGGCCAGGACCAGGTACTTCAGAGGACAGAACATAAGTCTACAAAAAATAATTTAATAATTTGGTCAAGGAGAAAATTTCCTCCTACCTTCTGGCTGGGGAGAAGACCATGTGGCCTATTTAAATTTTGCCTGAATCCTGGTACGGTCTTATCTTGATTTCTTTCACCAATGTATCCCAAAGGGTCAGCTCTGTTGCCTTCCAATTTATGTATTTGGTTATTGTTCAGCTAACATTTTAACTGAACATATCTAATTCAGTGGATGTTCCAAGTATTAACCATGAGCATGGGTTGGAGCAATTGCTACCTGCAATTAGTGTTGTGTTATTGGTCACTCAGTGTGTTCTTCCTACTCTCTCACTGGATAACTGCCACGAAGGAGATTACAAGACTACTGCACAACACTTCCAGAGCAAATCCTTGTGCAAGTACATAATCTACACAAACACTTGCAAGTGGCTATGTGCACCTGCACACATACATGGAACATTTTTACTTTCTGCAATCAAGATTTCACTCAAACACTTCGGCAAAAATCAAAGAGTAGCAGATCGTCACTAAGCCCATTAATACAAGTTAGCATTTTTAGTCTAAGACGCTTCAAATTTTCTTCCAGCCTTCATCCAATTCTAATCCTTTTTCCATGGAAGCCTGCCTAGGTGAGGAACCCCATTATTTGGTGCAAACAATGTTAATAAGAAAATCTGCTTGTAATTATAATTTCAGTTACTTAATTGTTTCACTTACCTGGTTCTGTTGGATGCTAGAATTCTTGCTTTTACTGGTTTCAGGCATCTCAATCTGCTGAAGAGAGTAATGAGATTAGCATATAACAACAAGCCTAGAGAAAGCAAGTACAAAGACACACCACACTCTACACAGACAAACCAAACTGGTGCCAGGACCAGATTCCAACGAAGCCAGTGGAAGCCGCACATTAATAGTCCTGTTCATAGTCACTCTAGCTATCCAGCAGTAGCAACAGAAGCTGAATATTAGACACCACTACATTTAAAACTTTAAAATTTACCTATCTTACAAATAACTCAGAAATCTAAAGATTAAAAAAAAATAGTTTCAAAATTCAAATCAAAATCACCTATTTTTGGTAGTTCATTGTTTAAAACTGTGAAAACAGAAGTCATTTGTTGCCTTCTTGTTCATTTTATGAGCAAAGTGTCACATGCACTTTTTTCGCCCCATTCAAAGAAAAAGACTTTGACAAAACAGCAGTCTCAGTCTCTTTGGATATAGGAATGTTAACAAAGGCATTATTAACATTAAGCATTGGGATACTGACCACTGGTGCAGAAATGCCTGGAAGTGCTACAGATTTAAATTTAAAGCTTCTTATGTAAAAGCAACGAGGAACCTTCTGGTAACAAGTTTTAATTTTAATATGTATTAAAATTCCCTATATGAAGAGGCAGATTGCTTCCAATTTTTTTAAAGGATGTTTCTTAGATTAATCTTAGATCACAGTAAAAACTGTGAACAACTCCATTAGGGAAAATGAAGATTCAGGCAAGAGTACAGTTGTCAAGATGGATACATGAAAAACAGTGATGGTACCAGCATGCTTTCCTATGTGTGAAAAATAAAATCTAAACAGGAAATGAAAGAGACCAATTTTAAACATTCTTCTGGCAAGAGGTCATCTTTAAAACAGCATTTTTTGTGACATTTCCACCCTCGTTATCAATTAATTCTGTGACAATATATAAAATGTTGAAAGCCACAAAAGCTGCTATACTAGGACTCTCTCTAACTCAGCTGAAACGAGGTTGGCAGCAGTGGAAGCTCTGTTTCCTTAAAAGGTCCCCCAGTATAGCTGAAACCACATGTGATTCGCAGCCAGGCTGACGCATGCAGGCTCCAACAGTTGCACTGACAGCCTGACTCACCAGTTCTTGCTCTTTGGTCGTCTTCATCAGCTGTTCTGATATCATTTTTTTAAAGCAGCTGCTTAGCAGAAATGCCTTATAATGGATAAACAGAATGGATTTTAGCTTCTCTTATTAAAAAAGTTTCCTCAACTTTCCTGCCCTCCCAGTCTGTAACCCAGTTCTTAGTCTTGGAATTTGGTTAGATTTTACTCCACATTTAAAATATGTGCAGTCAAACCTACTTGCTGTTTTTATCATTGGTCCTGTAAAGTAAGCTATTATTTTATAACTGCCTACTGTGCACAGCTGTGAGGCAGTTCAAATGCACTTCAGGCTAGTTTAGACTATTGAAATGTGGCATTATCTGCATCAGTACAAGTACCTATTCCCACTTCTAATGTGTCCTAGTGTCATAAGTGTTGAGAATCTAGAATTTCAAGAACAGAAAATGGAAGTGGCAGGAATTTTATTCCCCTGAAAAGTCAGATCCCATGTGCTGTCATTCGCATGCATCGCTACAATCTCTGGGAGCCAGCACTACTACCATTACACCTTACATAGTTAGTGCCCACGTGGACTGAGGCACCAACATGTTAGCTTGCACAGTTCGACTGGGGCCTGATGCAAAGTCAAAGTTACTGGGAACTTAATAGGTTTCTGGATCAAGCTCTTGGCCCTTCCAGATGCCAGCAGCTTTCGAAGCTATATATTCTTCTTTTTATTTTTAAGGGGTAAGATTCCTCACTCACTGGAGCAAATCAAGTGCTTAATTTAATAGGTTCTAACACAGGAATTTCAGTTGTCGGTTCTCTCATGCCAGCGACCCAGTAGAAAAGCTGCCTCTGCTGAACGCTGGTTATTTGGAGAGGGGTCATGTTCTCGTAAAATGTAGAGCAGCAACAAATAAATATGCTGCTACATAATTGTGGAGATTATAAAGAGTCACACTAGAATGCAGAAGTAATGAATTAAAAAATATGAATTTTGATTTCACTTGGAAAGTTCTCACTGCTACTAAGTGGGGGTTGAAGAAGGCAAGAGAAGAGAAGGAAGGAGAAATGGTTTATTTGAAGAATGAACCTCTTCTTCCTTTTGTTTTTAAAAGTGCCAGAACCAAGACACCCAGAATCAAAAACACCTACAGAATCTACATAATTTAATATTTCTACTAAGCATCATAACTATATATTTGCCATGTCTCTTCTGAGATTTTTAAAAGAGCTGCCAGAAATTAGATGGGAGGGATGGGACACCAATGGGGATATGCTTACAATATGCCTACATAGATTGAGTGCCACTATGAAACTTGTTTTATTTATTTAACCTGGATTTGGGCAAGAGGCTTATGTGCTCCACATGCCATTTGGAAGATGGGCTCTTTAACCCGTCGGGAATGCTTAAAAGCCTGTGTTTGTAGACAGTCACTAGGCTAGTAAATAATAAAAAAGTCAGCATTGCCTCATACCATGTTAACTACAAGACATTTCTCACACCATGAAGGAAACACCCTGCCCCCTGCACTGCGAGGTATTTGAGCTCTCATATAACACTGTTCCCAGACTAAGCTGGTATAGACAGCAGCTGCATCCAGCCACAGAAGCTGTACATGGTTATTTTAAAGAGTAGAAGTCAGGCCCATTGCCTAGCAGCTTACCTTTCTTTGCTGGCCAACTTTTTACTGCCTCAAAACTAACCTGTTTTGTGTAAAAGACTATCCATTTCCATGTGTCTGAATCATTGTACTCAAACCTGAGCTCCAGGGTCTCACCAGTCCCTTCATCATTTGCATCTGTAACAGCACCCTGAAAAGCAAGGGAAACAGAAGAAACAGCTACAAAGTGGCATTAACTCAGATTTAAGGCTGGACTCTTTCACTTTATGCCACTTGGCTGAAGATATTCCAAAGTGGCTAGAGTTCTGTATTGGAACAGTGCCCCTTTATGCATGTGGGGAATCTCCACCAGTATAAAGTTGGCTAACGTGGCCCCTGCTGCCTCCTACACTGCTCTCCTTACAGTCTGGCACATGGGAAGACAGCTGGAGTGCAAAGGGTTGCATCCAGGGAAGGGAAGAGACCTTGTCAGAACGATGCATCTCCATGCCCAATTTGCCACAGGCATCAAAATCAATAAAGGATTTTATGTTAAGAACTAGGGAACTACAAGCAGCTCCCAACACCATTAAGCCTTCCTTCAGGGGAAAGAAAGGGCAGGAGAAGAAAATTAAAATCTATTTAAACTGAGCATAGAAAGGTGTGAAGCCAGCAAGATACTTACTAGAAAGGTGACCTGCCAGCACCTCACTCTGTTGATCTTGAAGCTGATTACTTTGGTCTGATTAGTAGGCAGTTTTACGCAGCAGTAAATCTCATTATTCCCCACATGGACATCGGCAGAACAGCCTACTTCTGGATAATCACAGGTGCAAGGATCAAGCTTTATGTATCCATAGTGCTGCACTTCACTAACGAGCTCTAAAAACTGCATCAGAAAGACAGAATTAGGAAGTCCTACAAGATTGATGTGAAGACAGGTGTGATCTAGTGACATGAGCAATGGGCTAAAAATGAAGGACTGAAGGTTTTTAGTCTCAGCTCTACCAACTAATTTTTGCCTATGATCAGATAGTACTTTCCTGTCTGCAAGTCACTGGGAATATAAATATGTAACCTCAAGATTCAATTTAAGAAGTTATTTCTCAGAGAATTGGAAATCACACGCATGTCAAGGGTCTTCATCCTGCAGTATGTTCTCAATGTGTTTATCTTAATTTAACAAAACACTTTACCTTAATTTTGTTTGCTGTTTTTTGTAGCAACTCAAGTTTCTGCATCTGTTCATCTGTGGGTTTAACCCAGTTCCTCTCAATTTCCTGTACTGCCTTAAATGAAGTTCAGAAAATTAGTAAACTTTAGCAAGTTTCTCCTTTTTGTCCCATTAGCAGAATAAAAATCCCAGAATCTTTTAAAACAGTCTTATATTTCCAGACTTCTTGTTATCTCTGGCAGATATCCTAGAGTTGTTCTCAGCTTGCTTATGCAAAGCTTTGATTTAAGGCATTCAAAGTATTACAACATAGTATCATAGAAAATTAGGGCTGGAAAGGATAATCAGCAAGTCACTAGTCCAATCTCCCTGCTCAAGGAAAGATTTATTTCTGCCTAGCCATCCTAGACAATTCTTTGTCTAAACTGTTCTTAGAAACTTTGGGAACAAAGCCTCACATACAACTACCAAGCATTATGACCAAAACTTCAAGAACACCCTTTAGTTTGTCTACAAAGTCTGCTAGTCTAGAGATTGCATGGGGCTGCTCCCATACTCAATTTGAAGCTATTTACTATCTCTCTACTGAAAATTCCAAGTTACTATAGGAGATTTTCCTCCATCTTCTGAGAGCTAAAAGGAAATCTTACAGATTTTTATTCGATCATCCAGAAAAATTAATCTCTGGAAAAAGACCAACACAAGGAGATATTTTAATCCTTAAAAAGACAGAGGATTTTGTTTTTAAATTATGGAAGTAGTTTAGAACAAAACTGCAGTCTCAACCTTAACACCACCATCATAGCACCATCTACAGATTGTCATGAGGAGAATGTGGAAGGGTACTCAAGTCACCACCTTCATGTAAAGAATTATTATACCAAGAAGAAACAGGTAGATTACGCAGCAGGTTTACTATGCAATACAGAGAACATGCTCTTCAACAGTGCTCTCTTTTTATTATTTTAAGAAAGAAAAAAATGTGGCAAGATTGAATAGAAAGAAACTCTACTTTTTCCTGCTTAGGATCATTTAAGCAAAAGTCATTTAAAATACATTTCTTATATTAAGATGGGGAAATAGCTTTTAGAAATACCAGGGATTTCATTTTTTACCTGCATATAGAGTAAGTTCACAGAGGCTCTACAGTCCAGCAGCATTTTATCAAGGGATGGATCCATATACCTGCAAAAATGCAAATAAGTTACACAACTAAACACTGCTCTCAGAATTCAGGATTTTTATTCTGCTTAAATATTCAGTTGAATGCACAGCACAAAAAACACTAGGTTATAAAACAGATGTTGGCAACATTTTTGGCTAGAGTGCCAAAAACACCCCAATCCTGACCCATGGCTCGACTTGGCATGCCAGAGGCAGGCGGTGGGAGAGTTGCAAGGGGCCCAATCCTTGGTGCTGGCGGTGGCTGCAAGTTGCCTCCAGATAGATGGCAGGGAAGGGGCCCAGGTTGCGCTGCCCTGGCCCCTTTCCCACCCTGAGGTGCACTTGTAGTTGCTGCCAGCACGGAGCCAGTGCCAGGGCTCTGGAGCCCAGTTCAGCTGTTTGCAGCCTGCCTGCTACAGCTGCCCGGAGCCTGGGCTTGCAGACAGGAGCCTGTAAACAGCTGCACTGGCTCCAGAGCCCTAGCTGGGCTCCGTGGTGGTGGCAGGTGCACATGTGCCTCCAGGTGGATGGTGGGAGAGGGGCCTGGGGTAGTGCAACCCTGGCCCCTCCCCTGCCATTTGCCTGGAGGCATGTATGCAGCTGTTGCCACCATGGAACCTGGCCAAGGGCTCTGGAGACTGGTGCAGCTGTTTGCAGCCTTCTGGCTGTAGCTAGCCCAGGCCAGCTGTAGCATGCCAAGCAAAATGGTCTTGTGTGCCATGCTCTGATACATGTGCCATCGGTTGCTGACCCTTGTTACAGAATGTCCCACCACATTAGCTAAAGAAAAGTGTCACATTCAAGGGTGTATGGAAAAATTGCAGCCAATAAAGTCAACTATTCTAATTGGCTTATCTGCTTTTATTACAGTAGTACTGAAAACTATGATTAATTTAGAACTGAAGCATTAAAAATATGAATAAAAAACACAAGGGTTTCTCCTGGCTTTCCCTCATTCATCCAAAACAAACTCCACGCTTGTCTGCACAAAGAAATTTGCCAGTAGAACTGTAGCCTACCTACTTCTAAGTCAGTGCTGCAACTGCAGTATAGTATAGGTATACCTGAGCCAGCTTTAAACTGGCTAGGTTGCTACCATTTGCAATCTAGCCACAGCAGCATGGAGAACAGCTCAACTGCAAAACTCACTGAGCTACCTGATGTCATGCCTGAGCTAAATCATTTAAAAGCTTATAGCTACACTATAAGGCACATCTACTTTGCAATATATATGTCTATTTGGACACAGCACTGCATGTTTTTCCATTTAGCCTGCGTCTTTTCTTAAGTGGTATGAACTTATTTGGAATAAAGGTCTTGTGGTACTAGAACATGTATGATCACACAAAAGTTATATTGGCATAAGCATAGCAGTACAACCATGCTGATAGAACTAGGCCACTACTTTCCCCCATACAGAATACTTTTATGAACTAGACAACAGAGAATGGCCTGTATATGCCAAGCTTTAGCCCAATGACTTGTTAGTTACCAATTGTGAAATGCACCTGAACACAGGTTTTTAATGCAACTGAGTGACAGATACTTTAAGCATAGCTGCAGTGTTAGAATTCTGGTATTTTGTGCAGTAACATGCAGCAATACAATCTTTGGAAAAATACACCCTAAAGGCTAGGTACAGACATTTAAAAAGCCTGATGCGGAATCAATCTAAGTTACACAGTTTTCTATAAGGGGCATAAGTTTAGACTGGTAGTGAACAAAACACACATTCGCCCTTTGGTGTGGGGACAAATCTTAGACCAGATTCCACCATTTTTAAACCAATCTGTGTGCACCAAATTTCTGTTCTGTTATGGGTACAGACTGGTTTCCAATCACTTTTACTGGTAAAAGTGTAATGTCTGTACCTAAGTGATTTCTTCATACACAAACTGCAACTTTCAACTTAGAATCCCGCATCCCACTTGTTCTCTCATCTCAGAAGACAGCCATTTAAGTATTTTAAACTATAGTTTTATTTTCCCACTACATTTGGCAGCATTTGTAAACTAGAGCAAGATTACCCAAAAGAAAAAGAAAATAGGCCTCCTTTACTAGAAGCTTTGGCCAAAGATATTAAAATACAGACCACCCCAATCTTGAATTTTACATAGATTACTGAATAACTGGCTCATTGCAGCAAGGGACATTCCATGATTACCACAATGAGTGGACTTAAAAAGTATGCGGGGCCATTGAAGCTGGTCAGTTCCCATATTATACCAAGGAACTCAAAGACAAATCAGGACAGTCAGGCTGAATACACAGAATCTAAGCTGCTGTGAGGATTTACTTCTCTAGTACATTTATATTTGGTGGTGTAAGAGTGATGCTGTAGCCATGTTGGTCCATAAATTATGCGAGACAAGGATTTCTTAGGGTGATATTTTCTATTGGATCAACTGTAGTTGGGATAATGTTAGACGAGTGTTTGAATGCAAGACATTTCAAATCCTGCAACATGAGGAAGAATGTTATTGCGTTCAAACGCTTGTCTAACTTTATCCCAAATACACAGTTGGCCCAATACAAGATATCACCCTAAGAAATCCTTGTGTCTCACAATTATATTTGTAATACATGTTGCTAATCTATCTTCAGCTTCCTACTCACCACTTCCTGATCCCAAGCTTACAGTGCGACTGTTTCATGCTCTGAAGACTCACATAGGGAAGTTCAAATTCTGCCACTTTTTTCACAACTGAAGGGGGAGTGGGGCAGGAGGAAAGAAAAGAAATATTACTGAATCCTCCCTTGAAAAGAAAACAGATATTCTAGTATTTCATTAACACTCAGTCATGGTCATGAATAATAGCATTCATTGTGTAGATGGAAAAGGACTTCACAAAAATAAGGTATGAGAAAGATAAAGCAACAACTATGTTGTTTAGATTTCCCCATTAATCTAATCTTAAGGAGCTTCAAATTACAGTGCTCCTCATTTTGCTTTATGCATCTCTGAATTAGTTAATCTTAATCTGCCCTGCCTTCTGCCTGACTTCAGACTAACATAGCTAACCACTTCTTTCTGTCAAATCCCATGAAAGAAAGGAAGAGGAGGTTAATTATTATAGATTTCAAACAAGTTTGAGCAGACAGGACATCTGCAGATACAGCTCCAATGCAGATCTTTGTGATTTTGTTACATGAGCAAGGTTGGCACAAAACGATTCATTGCTTGAAAAAAAAACCCAACAAAACAAAACAGAATGCTCTCAGGAAGGTGCAAGTACAAGTCTCATATTCAATGGGGATTAATTTAATAAGGAAGTCTTCCATAAAATGGAGGGTCTCACCCTGCATCTCTTCAGTTAAGACCCCAGTTTAGCAAGGCACTTAAACACCTGCCTAACTTTAAGCAGGCAAGTGCTCAGATTCCTAGCTCTGGGTTTGTGTTGATTTAACATGTATGGCCTTACAAACAGTTCTGTATGTGCACCCGGAGAATGCAGTGCTCATTTATAAAGGTAAATAAATGAAATATGCAGAAAAAACACTCCCATATGCCACTTATTTTTATGCTGTAGCACAATGAATATGTAATATCATACATGGCTATAGTAAAGCGCTATGTAAGTTTATATAAGAGGTGCTAGAGCAAGAGATGCTTATTGCATAGGAGAACCCAGGGACCTCACATGCTCAGCATCACATTCTTCTTCTCTCATCCCTGAAAGCATGAACTATTTCAGACATTAAGTGATAAAAACATAGGCACATATAGTGAGGCTTGGCAGCATTGCCTGCCACACTGAGGAAGTCACCTACACACTACATCAAGCACAGCCCTTGTGCCCAGTAATTTGGCACCATTTGCAATATGCATTTTTTTTTTGCTAGAAACCTATACACCACTTTTTCAATGATGAGCCTTAAAGCACTTCCAGAAGTGCAGGAACTGGGGAGGAGAGGGGTTAAATGACTTGGCAAAGATCAAATACAGGATCAGTAACAGAGCCAGGAGTCTAGTCTTGGTGCGAAATCCTGGTCCCACTGATCTCTGTGGAGAAGCTACTGTTGATTTAATGGAAGTCAGAATTTTACCCTCATTCTCCTATATCCTGACCCTGGCTTACATCCACTAAATTACCACTGGCCAACCGAGGAAAGAATATATGCACGAGAAGCATATAAAAGACTAAAAAGGCAAGATACAACTTTGCAGATAATCATATTCTAGTTTAGGGCACATTTGGGTTCATCACTGTCAGGAACTCTGTAAATTTCATCAGCTAAGAAATGGAAACTTAAGGTATAAACTAGAACCAGTTAAAGTTTTGCCTTTGTATGTAAAAGCTTTGAGTTTGATAAACAGCTTTTATTTCAGAGTATAGTAATTGGTAGAGAAACCTAAAATGAAAACATCTAGCTAAGTGCTCAACAAAAACAACACAAGTCACCAAGTTGCTACATGCCTTGTAACTTAAAAGGAATAAAAACATCCTTAAATGAAAAGTTCACTATGCTTAGAGCAAACCTCACCCACCTAGTACCATGCTTTGTTTGCTTCCCTCTCTCCCTCCCTTGGTGACTGGGTCATGCATAAAAATTGCTAAAAATCGCCTGTTCCAACCTTGAGTTAACAAAGCAGATGCGTCTGTTAGGTCAAGCAGGAGAACTTCATGCTTTTCAATCCAGAGGTCCCAGCTTCAATTCCCTCTGCAATGACACACCTGCAGGTGCACTGCATTGTACCTTGAGCATAGCTTACCAGAGAGAGTTCCACTGTTGTGATCTTCAATAAAAAATAAACTAAAATATCCTATCAGTTCTTTTGACAGTCCCATCTTGTATGAGGCAACCTTTAAAAACAAACAAACAAACAAACAAACCAGTACCTATCCATCAGAACATGAATGGAGTAAAACCATTCTGCAACTTACTTTTTATTTTACACTGCTCTCCTTTCTAGAATAATAATTATTTGAAAAAAAATGAATGCTCCAACATGGAAGTGGTTAAAATTTATCATGGTATTTGCAGTATTATTAGGATTGTCAATTCATGTCCCAGTGAGAACTACAAGGCATACATACACACTTGGGTATTTCACTTGTTTGCATGGCTGCTTACTGGTACAGACTAAACCCTGGGGGAAAACCAAAACACAAACACACACATCTGCCCTTGTTGAGCTGATACAGTCCCACCACATCATATCTACAAAGTCTGCAACTAGTTGGTAATTTTGGTCTAGATATCAAGGACTTAACCTTCAGACACCTGTTTCAATGCATTTAGCCTAGCCTTCAGAGCAGTATTTAGCTGCTATGAGGCACAAAACCAAACTAGTAATTGTTTATTATTTGTACTGCAACAGCAGCTATACGTGCTAGCACCATGGTATTAGGTACTGTGAAAACAGCCTATGAAAAGCTTATGATCTGACTCTAAACACCAGGTGGATACAAGCCAGACAGAGGGAGCAGAGAGGACTGGTGAGAAGTGGTCAGCATGATAAGCTGTAGTCACAGTGCAGCAGTTGTCTTGAACTATGTCTAAACTAAGGCTAGAGCATCTTTGCCCATGCAGGTGGGCACCAGGAAGTTTAAACAGATTTGGCCTATCATAACCATATCAAAACAAAGTTAAATCTATTTACCCAAGACAGTAGGACTGACTGGGCCAAAATGGCCAAACAGTTGCAGGGATATTGAGTGGCTGAAGTTTTTTGGGGGTGGAGGATGTGGCAGGGAGGAGTGCTGATGAATATAAACACTAGGGAAGACTTATATAAAAAGGTTAGATACATAAATTAGATAGTAGTCAGCTCATGGGTAAATCTTAACTGCAAAATTAGCAAGTTCTAAATTCTGTTCTTTGCAGGTATTCCCTCAGATTTTTTTTTTTTGGCTTATTTTCTACTAATATGCAAAGGAGATCATTCTTTTCTCTTCACAGCTCTTGCAGTTAGGAATGTGAGTAGGACCACACATAGAAATACCTCTAGTATTCTTTCAGCTGTGTCCGATGTCTTGATATCCAGCCTAATATTCCTTCCATCAGCCAGGTAAACATCTAGACAAGCTTTCTGTGGCTGGATCTTAAATGTATCCTGTTGAAGTGAAATATAAACAGGTTTACTGCTGCCCTGATATAGATACTGATGCTCTGCTTCCAAAGTAACTCCAGAGACACCAACTAGATCGTGGGAAGGAAACTGAAGCTGGGATGGGGAAGTAGCACACTGACTCTATTCCTACCTTGAATCTCAGAAGAGAGGCCCTATATACAAGAAGCAGAATTACCAGAGCAGTTATCCTTCCCCTGGGAAATTTCAGAGATGTAGTTTTACCACAGGTTCTCATGTATTTGCTATACATCTTATTACCAGGATGTTGTACCAGAACCAGAAAGGCTCTTTAAGCTTCTCCTGAGCTTACAGCACCTTTCTGCAGTTTGATGCTGACATTGATGAAGAAATCCAACATTGCCTCAAATGTGCAAGTGCAGCCTTTGGACTCCTGAAGAAGCAGGTGTTCAAAGATCGTGACCTCATATCCGAAACCAAGCTCATGGTTCTTATCAAGCAGCTGTGATCCTCACCTTGCTGTACAGAGCTGAGACATGGGCAACGTACAGGAGACATTTAAAGTTGTTGGAGAAGTACCATCAAGGCTGCTTGCAGAAGATGCTCCGAATCCAGCGGGAAGACAGACACACCAACACTAGCGTCCTCCTGCAAGCAAACACTAGGAGTACTGAGGCAATGATCATTTGACATCAACTTCATTGGACCGACCATGTCATCCGGATGCCTCACTCCAGACTCCCAAAGCAAGTTTTATTTTCTCAGCTCAGTCAAGGCATATGCTCAAGAAGAGGGCAAAGAAAGTGTGTCAGGAACAACTTCAAGGCCAACTTAAAAAAAATGCAACATCGATGTTAAGTCATGGGAGACTATTGCCCAGGACTGCCCCAAATGGAGGAAGAGTCTGCCTCAGGGATCTCAGTACTTTATAACCTCACAACATTAGGAGATGGAAAAGTGGGAGTGGCAGAAACTGTGTTGAGGCCCAAATCAAGAATCCAGCGTCACCCACCCCACAAGGAAACATATGTCCGAGCTGCAGTAGAGTCTGTTGATCCTGGATAGGCTTCATCAGCCATCTTTGGATGCACAGATAAGACCATCATGAAAGACAATCATCCTCGACTGCAAGGGATAGCTGAAGAGAGAATGTAGGGTTCAAGTGTCCTGGAGAAGAGCAGACAGAAGGTTTTGCAACACAGATGTTTCAGCCTTGAATCTGCCTGCTTTGTTTGAACTACTTTGCCACTGTGAATCCTTGGGGAAGAGGTTGACAAACTTGTACTTTGTATGCTTGTAATCGGATTTTTGTTGTTGTTGAAGATCATTGATTTAAATTATTCTGGTGAAGATGAGTTCAGCCCCAAAGAAATAAACAGTACTAATGTTGCTCACACTTATTCAAGGGTAAAGCTTTATACCATCATAGAAATATAGCCCAGGTCTTTCTGTAAAAGGAACAAACACCAGTGATGACCCCTGTGCCTATACCAGAGAGGTGGTTGGTATAAAGGAGGACTCATTAAACAAGGATGCAACTTGAAACTGGCTTGCACCGTTTAATATTTATTTTACAGACAGGAGCTGTTTAAGATGTTATTCATATTGAGCACAGCAACCACATCATGGGACCTTGTTACAAAACAGCTATGCCTAACTTTTCCCAGAGTGAACCAGTGCAAGAGCTAGTAAAGTCCCAAATGGGAGCATGCAGAGCTGTCCAGTGCTACTGACACCCCTAGACTAAACTGTATTTTAATTGCACTGAACTGGGTCCCAAGTAAAGGAGAGAGGTAAGTATATCTGTGAAAAATTGTATAATTTAATACCTCCACTACAGCAATTTAAATTTGGGAAAGTACATAAGCAGCCAGCACACTGAACTACAAAGAAGGGAAACATTTTTCTGGGTTTCATTCCTTCATTGAACCTGTTTAAAACCTGAGACCTGAGCTAGCCAAGAATAAGGTAAAATTCATGCTTTTGAAAGTTACCAGGTTTTGAAGGGTAACATATTAAATAAATTCAGTGCCTTTATCATTTCTCTTCTCTGAAGCTCATTTTTCATCTTGAAGTAATCCCAGCTCTTTGTGATAAAAATAGAGACTAGGAAAAGCTGGAATGGAACATGTCAAAAGAAGATAAAACAGAGTAATACAACTTCCTGAGGATGCCTTGGCATTGGGATGAATCTAGCAAGCAAGGCTGTCTTTGCCACTGAGTGAGACTACCCTGAGAGTTTGCAGGGAGAGCTGGAGAAGGTTTTGGTCCATAAAAGGCACAGAAAGTCATGCAAAAGCAAAACGAGAAGCTCCTTCAGACAGCCCAGGACAGAGATGAACTGCTAAAGTAACAAAGAGGAATGACCACTCACATCAGGGTTCCCTGCATAGAGTTACCATATTTGCAGTTCCAAAAAAGATGACACCTGTCGTGCCGGGGGGGCGGGGGGCAGCTGGTATGACTGTAGGGGGCAGCGATAAGCCGGTGCCCTGGCTCTGCTCATTCCATTGCCCCTCACTCCCAAGCTACAGCCCTCCCCACCCCCAAGCCCTGCTGCTGCCCCTCACTCCTGACCTGCGGGCTACTGGCCCTGCCAGTGCCCTTCACTCCCAACCTGCAGTACCTTGCCCCTCTGGGCCATGCTGATGCCCCTCACTCCCAATCTACAGCCCACCCCATCCCTGCCAGTGCCCATCATTCCCAACCCACAGCCCCCTGCTCCCTCCAGCATCTCCCAGCTGCCCCACCCCTGTGAGCAAGGGCACAGACCCCCGCCCTGTCAGATGGGCCACGCAGCTCCCTGCTGCCCCTGAAGGGCCCCCCAATCCCCTTCCCCTGCTGGAGGGGTAGGCTTCCCCCAGCGCTGGCATTGGGGCTACTCCCACCACCCTGCCAGGCTGCATGCCTAGGGTTACCATACGTCCAGGTTTTCCCAGTCACATCCTCTTTTTGGGTCCTCTCATCTCTGTCCAGGAGGTTTTTTAAAATACTCATCACATGTCCAGAATCTTGTTCTGCTCAGCACTGAAGTTTCCCCTGGAACTTTGTGGCTTGCCCTAACAAGATGCAGCTTGGGGTTGTGGGGAGCAGAGGGAGGGCAATTGGAGACAGAGGCATCATGTGCATGTCTGGCATGCAGCCAAGATGTAGTCAAGCAGGGTGGTGGGAGCAGCCCCAGCAGCTACATGCGGGTAAGTCTATGGTGGATGGGGGTGGGAAGGACAGGGCTTGGGGACTGTCGAGGGGAGTCTGTGTGTGTGGGGCAAGGGGCGTGTGGATGGGATGAATGTGTGTGTGGCGGGGAGGCGCATCTTGCCGGTGCTGGGTGCACAGGGGCAGGGGAAATGGGGGAAGGAGGTGGGGGCCCTTTGGGGGCAACACTGGGGCTGGTGCCTGTGCTCACAGGAGCAGGGCAGCAGGTCAGGAGTGAGGGGCATTGGCAGGGCTGGGGGCTCTTGGTCTGGAGTGAGGGGCTTTGGCAGGGCTGGGGGGAATGTGGCTTGGGAGTGAGGGGCACCAGAGGGGGCCAGTGACTGTGGGCCTGAAGCATGGGGTACAGGCAGTGCCAGGGGGGCTGAGAGTCGGGAGTGAGGGGTATCAGCAGGGATGGAGTGGGGGTGTGGGTTGGGAGTAAGAGGCACCACCATGGTTTGGGGAGCAGGATACTGTGGGTCAAGAGTGAAGGGCAGTAGCAGGGCTGAGGGGCTGTGGTTTAGGAGTGAGGCACAGGGGCAGAGGCGTATCACTACTCCACCCACAATCATATTTCTCTCCCCCGGTGTCTTTTTTTTTGGAAACTGGAAATATAATCCTATGCATGCTGGCCATGTGCATGTGCACCCTGCCTGCAATAGTCTTCCTCCTGTTCCTCCCCGCAGCCCCAAGCAGCTCTTTGCTAGGGCAAGCCAGGAAAAACTTCAAAGCCAAGTTGACCAAAATCCCGGACATTTGATCCTATTTAAAAAAAACAACACCTGGACAGAGATCGGAGAATCTAAAAAGAGGACGTGTCCAGTAAAACCAGGACATATGGTAACCGTATCCCTGCACAGCTAGAATCTGGTAACATATGAATCTCCTATATTTCGGTGAGCAATCTCAGCCCTTATTATAACCAGAACTGTGCATCTGCTTAATTTCACATAACATCTGCAGGGTTGTACAGCAAAAAGAAAAAAGCGTTAATCTAAAAATATAATTTAAGTTTCTAGCTCTCTACTAGAGAAAAAAAAAACATCTAAAACAGAGAAGAGAAGCTAACTCGGGCTGTGTTGTCTTGAAGTTTCTCTGTCAGCAGATTCTGAAACACCTGAAAGGCAAGATACCACCAGGGATGTTTAGCTGTCACCACTGGGGATCACAATTAACTGCTGCCATTATGAACCATTTCACTGTTGATTATGCAAGTGGGATCATTCAGTTAACATACACACCTGCTGATGGGTGCAATGGTAGATATTTCTGGTGCAACTAGTTGTTCTTGTAGGAAACTAAAAGCCTTATCTACATTAGAAAGCATATCAACTTGAACCAGCGGGGTCACAAATGTGCAAAGTACAGAGTAGAGCAATCATACTAGGCAACCCATCTTGGGCACGCACAGAGTAATGTCCAGTCACGTTTTACACTGCTCACGAATTGCACAACTCTCAGGAAAAGGGCCTGTACATGCATGAGGCTGTTTCTGCCCATACGTTATTTTGGTCTGCTTATCACAGTTCAGGCACAGGGAGCAGCATGCACTGCTACTACCTCATGCTATTACTGCCAATGACTTCAGCCTCTCCTGTGGAAGCTGCAGAATCATTAGGTTGAGTCTCACCTCAGTGGGGCAATGTTGCTTGAGAAGGTTTGTTGCTTCATGGGTTACTTAAGATTAAGGTTTCTATAAATCTTCCTTGGCAGTTTTTCTTCTTTTGCTTTGTAGCTGAATGCGTAATTTTTCCTTGCCATCACCTTCATTCTTCTATGTTGAATTTTATCTTTTTTTTAATTGTAGATCATCTCTCCAATTTGAGATC